CTTTTTCTTATTCAGATTGGCTTAATAGAAGAATGTATTTTCATTGGAATGGAAGGTTTCTGTGTAAGCACATCAGTTTCAGCAATGCTTTTCCAGGAATAACTTAAAATGCAAGGAGGACAGACATGTCAGTGTCTCAGAATGATGAAATCCTTGATTTGCTTGATTTAGTAATAAATTTTCTGCCTTTCTCCTGATAAAGCAGGGATTTGCACTTATGACCCCTCTATCCTACACAGACAGCCTGCCTGACAGGCAAGGGATCCAGCCCTGCTGGCAGTGCCGAGAACATCCTGGGCTGGGGGAAAAGAAAGACAAAAAAACTCCAGAAACCAGTCCAGCTTTCCTGCAGCACGTCATTTTCCTTTCAGTCAGCCAATGGGCATTTCAGCATGATTTCAGGAGGTAAGACCGTTCTCAGCACCTCATTCCTGTTAGCACAAAAGTACAGTTCAGAACCTTGGAAGTTGTCACCAAACAGAAAAGGCCTCCTGCACTTGAGGCACAGGCAGACATAACATTAACAAAATGACTGTGGGTGCATCCAGCAGCACACACTGTGTCTGTTCAGGTGGTTATACCTCTAGGTCCCAAACCAGCAAACGCTTGCCTGAACCTCAGCAATATGTTTTTGCCCCAGTGTCTGTGAATGTCCTAATCATTCTGTTCCTCCTCTCCCACCCTGTGCCATGGGCACATCCCAGTGGTGATGTGGAGCACGTTCTGCTTCCTGACCGTGCACTATGGCCAGCACCTGGATGGTCCTGTCGGCCTTAATCTGCAATTGGAGGTATAGGCAAGGGGCAGGATGCGGTGCTGGTGTTGCAGAGCCAGTGTGCCAGGCTTTCCAAGTGAGAGTTGCCCCGCTCTTGTGTGAAGCCAGAGCAAAGTTATGACCGCCAACAGCCCATCTGACCCCAAAGGCGGGTTAGAGGCAAGCCCTGGATGCAGGCTAGATGAACACCACGGCAAGCCTGGTGTTGAAATGACACTGCCTAGTCCTAGCAGTGTTGCACAGGTAGCTCTAGCAGCTCTTCACAGAAGGAGCGGTGTCAGTAGTGCCTCCTCCCTTTGCAGGCGGGGAATGGAGCAGCACAAGGGAAGTGGCTCGACCGAAGCACCTCCAGCAGCTGGTGGGAAAGCAGGAATTAAATGTGCTTTTCCAGGCCATCACACTGTGCAGACTGTCCTCTTTGGGGAGGAGAGCCCAGCCTCACCAGCACAGTGACAGGGAGCAAAAGCAGTGCTGGGGTTTTGCCGTGAGATAAAATGGCCATTGCAGCATTTCTGCAGCAGCGGTGCGGAGTGATGGCTGGGATGCTCGGGCAGGGCTGGGAGCCATGAAGTGCCCAGAGGACAGTGAGCCATCAGCTTGGTCCTTAGCAGTTGGCTCGCGTTCAGGACCTGACTTCTGCCTTACCCTCTGTTACGCCATTTCAGTGAGACCCAGGTGCTCGCTGTGAGCCCCAGGATTTCTGCATGGTGCAAACAGCCTTTTGGAGCCCAGAGTCCCTTTGAAGCGGTTCCAGCCCTCCATAGCCTGACCAAGGCAGGGCTGGCTGACGCACATTCCCATTTTGCTGTCTGCTGCTTCCACTACAGGGGGGAATGAGTGAGCTCCTGTCCTCAGCTGGGATACCACGAGATGCTGGCACAGAGTGGGATGAGCCTGGACAGGGCTCTTCAGCTGGGAAAGGAAGATCACAGCAAATAAAGCAGGAACAAAGACACCCTTGAGACCTACTGGCTTTTAAGACACAAAAAATGGCATGTTTTGGAGGAGGCAGAAGAGGCTGGCCTGGATCCAGAGCAGCAGAGGCTGGGTACAGCTGCCACTCCTGCTGATAAGGGCTCTGGTAAAGCTTGGCATGGGACACTGCCTGCTGCAATCAGAGTGACCAATAAATTCTGCTTGTTTCAGAAAGGCTGTCACTGTAGCTGCCTTTTGCCATCATTGGGATGGTTTATCTATAAAAAAGAAGGTTGCCATCCATGGAAGTGGGCATGGCCCAGTGTGGGACCAAGAGATGAAGAACGACTTAGGAGATCTTCCACCCACACCAAAGGGAAGAGCTGGCTGGAAGGATGCTTGAGGGAAGAGTCCTGAGCATAGTGAAATCCATGCCAGGCAGTCAGCAAAAGGGCCCCTAGTTTTCCTTCTGGGGATAAGCATGCTGCAAGGTATTGCTGTAGGTACACTAGGGGAAAGGAGATCTCCTTTTGAATCTGCAAACTGGAAAAAAGCTACAGAAACTGCCTCTATTTGGCCCATCATGATGAACATTTCCCCTCCCACCCTGTGCCCCCAAACAGCCCCTCAACAGACAACCCCTGTGCTGGGAGCTCTGAGCATCCAAAAATTGCCAGCCAGGCCTCTGCCCCCAAGCCACAGAGCAGGTGATTTTAAAATGTACTTAAAATGAACTCTTCCTTATAAAAATGGATGAGGTAGATGGATTCCCTGGAGAAGCCCCAAGCAGAGCACAGGGCTGGGACTGTCTGGCATGTCGTGCCTTTGCTTTTTGCCAAGTGCTTCTCTGCTGTCTCCCAGCGTACAGGGCTGCATACAGCGAATGCTCGTGGCGTCCTGGCCGAGCTCACCCTGCCATCCCTGCAGGCACCTTCAGGGCTGTGTCTGCTTGACTGTGAGCTCATGCCTCTGATGGTGTTACGGACTGCTGCCTGACTGTTGTAAACAGCCTCTGGGCCTGCCCAACATAGCAGGTTTCCTTAAAATGTCTTTGTGGCTGACTAATCTTAAAACTAAAAAGCCCCTGGAAGTCTTTCACAGGGAGTTTAATCTCATGCTTTTTCCTCCTGTCAGCTGATAACTGGCCTGTGGCACTAATGCAATTGCTGGAGATGATGTGAAAAGCACTTTGAAGGAATCACTTGCCAGGACAGGATGATGTTCTCTGATCGGGAGATGCTGCTGCCCACAGCAGTGAGCGAGGAGGAGCTGTGTAGGCTGGGGAGGGACAGAGCTGAAGGAGAAGGAACGAAAGATAAGGCGAAGCTCAGCAAGCCCCAGGAGTTGTTCATCCTTTGTTTCTTCTTTTGGTTTAGCATCTCACCTCACACCTGGGATGGGCATTTGAAACTGCCCTTGTGGGATGGTGCATCTGGAGGCTGTGGCCACAGAGCAATTTACTGATGTTACAGCCTCCTCATTTCTTATGTCCATATTAACTGAGAGGGCATGTGCATGAACCAATTTGTACATAGCAGAACTAGAGTTGCAATTAGAGAATTTAGTTTAAAGTCAGGTCACCAATTACAGCTGAAGGCAGAGCTCAGTACCTGACTGTATCGCAGGCTTCTTGCGTGATTTTAAGTGCATCAATGCATCCTACAGTGCATCAGGACCCTGTTTGCAAAATTATACTAGTAAGAATACTTTTATTCTTTGACAGCCTCCCCTGTTAGTAGGAAACACCTTGGACCGAGATGCCCTGTCAAGTAGGAGGGTGGAAAACAGTCACCACTTTCAAAGATATAGTAACTGCAGGGAGTAATGGTATTGACCAGAGCTAAGGCTGGAAGAACTTATTGACAGTTTTATTTGGAGCACACAGATAAGAGACAAGATAGTGCTCTTCAGATTTGTAGACATGGTTGCCAAGAAGAACACAAGAGGACAGACCTCATTCTGCACGCAGTGAGAGATCATCCCTGCAAGGCTGTTTCTTAGGGCTGAATTATTTTATGTGAAGAAGCAATCTGATCAAGACAGCTCTACCAACAGTAGAAATGCTGCTTTGCCAGGACAGCTTATTTCTTTTGGGGTATGAGGTATGCTGTATATCAAAAGAACTCTTTTTTCTAGTATAAGCAGTATCTGCACTCAAGAATTTGTCAGTGGTAGTGCCTGATACAGCAAAACCATCAACCTTTTGCCATGCAGACAAGGTTTTATTGCGTATTTCTGCTAGCAGTCTGAAAAAATAAGCATGGTTGCCTGTTTGGTTCTGCCTTTTATTTGGTGTACACCCCACTTCTGATTTGGCCAGGCTCAGAACTGTGCCCCAAAGCCACCCAGTTATTAGACTAAGAGACAGTCATCAGCCCCATACAGGAACAAGGCATTCAAAATCTAAAATAAAGTGCTGTGTTGTCCTCTTCTTGGAGGGCCAGCAGATAAAATTAACATTGGATGGGTTTTGCACAGTACAGCCTGGTCCTAGATTCCAACTGGCATCAGGTGGGACTGTCCACTTGGGTGACATGTCTGGCTTGTACTCCTCACAGGACTAAGGCTAGGAATAACACCGTGCTCTTGAGACCCATAACTCTGAGTTGTGACTTCGAGGTGGATCCACTTTCCCTGATGATAGGGAATTGCACTAGAGATGGGAAACAGGAGAGCTTAGGCTCAGAACAGCATGGACAACAATGATGGACAATGATGATAGACAACTCTGAAGCTCTTTGCTAGGACAGACAAGAAAGGAGGCTCTTGCATTTAAAGCATGGGCCCTAGATTTGGGAAAGATCATTCAATCTTTTTTTTCCCAGTAAGCCTCTGGTCCTTCCAGCTGGGGTGGATAATGCCTGGAGCTGTTCAGGATGAATCCAAGGAGTGCAGGGCACTAATGCACCATTAAGAGTCTGAAAACATGGTCAAGCTGGAGACTGCAAACTCTTTGAACGTCACTGCCTGTCTTCTTGGGTCTGCAGCGCGTGTTCAGGCCCCAGCCTCCGGCAACCTCTGCAATGCTGGAAACCCACAGCTGGGGAGAAGCTGTGCAGGCAGCTCCACCTGCGCTTGCAGCTGCAAATACAAGTGCATGGGTATGAGGTGATGCTTGTCCACTCAAAGGCAGAGGGGGGAAAGGGCCTCTTTTCCCCTTGGACAGGATCCAAAATTGCTATCTTTCCTTGTGCAGCCCAGCTCCCTCCCCAAACCCAACCAATAGCTACGTGAACTGAGATTAGGACAAGCCGTTACTAGTGTATAAAAATCCCTGGGGCAGACTTCGGCTCCACTTCCTCATCATTGTTCAGGGAAGCCCCAGGCAAACCCTCTTGCTCGACACCATGGTGCACTGGACAGCCGAAGAGAAGCAGCTCATCACCGGCCTCTGGGGCAAGGTCAATGTGGCCGACTGCGGTGCTGAGGCCCTGGCCAGGTAGGTCCAGCTCCCGGGCGTCTGCTCAGCTGCACCCTGGGTAGAGAAACCGTGGTAATTGCATTGGGGATCATTAACATCTCTGTGTCTGCTTGTGTCCCCCCTCCATCTCTCCTCAGGCTGCTGATCGTCTACCCCTGGACCCAGAGGTTCTTTGCTTCCTTCGGGAACCTCTCCAGCCCCACTGCCATCCTTGGCAACCCCATGGTCCGCGCCCATGGGAAGAAAGTGCTCACCTCCTTTGGGGAAGCTGTGAAGAACCTGGACAACATCAAGAAAAGTTTTGCTCAGCTGAGCAAACTCCACTGTGACAAGCTGCACGTGGACCCCGAGAACTTCAGGGTGAGCTGTGCTTGGACTCCAGCCTCAGCTGGGCAAAGGTTTCTGTTCTCTGGAGAGGGCTTTAGGGGTCTCTGACAGTCAGTGAGACCTAGAGAGAAACCCTGAGGCTGCCTGAGCCTGGGAGCCTGTGGAGGGCAGCGGTGGTGGAGGGGAAGGGGGAGTGAATAGGCATGTTTGGGGAGAATAGAGACGAGTTGTGGGGCTGGGATCTGTGAGAGGAGAGACCCACGCAGGCGGGATCAATGGGGATGAAGCACAGAGTTGAATATGTGCTGGTAGCAAGCAACATTGGCTTGGAGCAGCCAGAGACCAGAAGGGAAGAAACCGAGACAGGGTTTGGAGCGAAGAGCTAAGCCTGGCTATGATGGAGTGGTTAAGCCAGGAGAGAAAATAAACACAGCCACTTCAGCAGAAGGAGGGGATCTGAGCCAAGAGAAAGCAAGGGTGGGTAAGCATATGAAAGGAAAGGATAAACCCAGTCGAAGCAGAGGGAGGACACTGCACAGCAGGCAAAGGAATGTGTTTGGGGGGTAGAATCCAGCACATCCAGGCATCCTGGTGAGTGCCAGAGATGCAGGCTGTGCAAGGAGCCCGGTCCTCTGCACGGGGCTTTGATAAATCTGTTCCTTGCTTTGCAATGAATTCCCCAATAACTGGTGTCCATGTGTGAACACCTGGGTGGTGTGATGGTGGGGAGGGAGGTGGGGGGCAGCACCGGGCTGACGGCTTCTCCTCCCTCCATTGCCAGCTCCTGGGTGACATCCTCATCATCGTCCTGGCCAGCCACTTCGGCAAGGACTTCACCCCCGCCTGCCAGTCCGCTTGGCAGAAGATGGTCCGTGTGGTGGCCCACGCGCTGGCCCACGAGTACCACTGAGCCTCTCGCAAACTTTTGTGCCTGGAGATGCTCCCAGCTCACAGGGAAACATCCTCTGGTTCTGCTGGTCTTTAATTGCCAAATAAACACCAACTACTTCAGCCATGAAGAGGTGTCTGCCTCTCTGTGGGAATGGGGTGGGGGCCACCCCGGGGTGCTGGGGAACAGGAAGGGGACGCTCACACACATGGGGTAGCATGAGCAACAGTGTTGTCTATGAATTCATGCAAGTGAGACTCATCTAAGCTGGAGAATCCAGGGGAACATTCAAGACAAAAACCAAATGAACACACTACAAAATGCAAACAGAAATACTCCAGTGCTTTTTTGAGGCATCAGGTAACTTCGTTACTGATGCACATTGCATCATTTGGTTTAATGTTTTAAGTCTTTCACAGATTAAGTGGAACAAAACTTTGTACAAAAATGTGCAGTGGGAGAAGTGGCAGTGAGACTAGGTCCATTGTTTGTAACTTCCTTCATGGAAGGAAAAATGCTTTTTTTGTTGTTTTTTTGTCTAAACCATTATAGTTCTCAGATTATTAAAGGCAGAATGTAATAGACCCAACTACCTATTATGGCAAAAAGTATGCTAAGAATGGTAATTTCATGTACAGGAAGGACAAAGCATCTGCTTTCACTGGCCCCTACATCTAACGTTCCACAAGCAAAACGAAATTCCCTGAACAGTCTCCATGCCACTCAGAGGACAGTGGCGCTCACCAGCCTCCTGTCCTCCTTTCAGACTCACAGCATCCCCACAGCACCGAGAGTAGCTCAGGGACACATTTGGGGTTCCTGGGTGTCCTGGTTTCAGCTGGGATAGAGTTAATTGTCTTCCTAGTAGCTGGTACAGTGCTATGTTTTGAGTTCAGTATGCAAGAATGTTGATAACGCTGATGTTTTCAGTTGTTGCTAAGTAGTGTTTAGTCTAAAGTCAAGGATTTTTCAGCTTCTCATGCCCAGCCAGCAAGAAAGCTGGAGGGGCACAAGAAGTTGGGACAGGGCAGAGCCAGGGCAGCTGACCCAAACTGGCCAACAGGGTATTCCATACCGTGTGATGTCATGTCCAGTATATAAATTGCGGGGAGTGGGTGCGGGGGATCACTGCTTGGGGACTGGCTGGGTGTCGGTCGGCGGGGGGTGAGCAATTGCACTGCGCATCATTTCTACATTTCAACCCTTTTATTATTGCTGTTGTCATTTTATTAGTGTTATCATTATCATTATTAGTTTCTTCTTTTCTGTTCTATTAAACTGTTCTTATCTCAACCGACGAGTTTTACTTCTTTTCCCAATTTTCTCCCTCATCCCACTGGGTGGGGTGGGAGTGAGTGAGTGGCTGCGTGGTGCTTAGTTGCTGGCTGGGGTTAAACCACTGGGTGGTGAATTCCTCCAGGTGAATTCCACTGCACTGTTCAGTGTGGAACAGCATCACCTCGTAGGCCTGGCCCCAGGGTCCTTTGGCCAAGCCACCTCCTGAAGTGAGCATCAGCAGAGAACCAGTGCAGCCATTGGAAATGGTGGCAGCCTGCAGCCCGTTGCTCCATGGTCATGCAGACCCCGCTGGACCAGCTGGCGTTGCAGTGCGCTGCCTGGGTCCGGCCCCACGAGCTCCAGCCCCAGCCCCAGCGCCTGCATCCCACCCCACCACCTCCAGCCCGCTCTGCTGGGAGCAGGAGCAGAGGTGCAGTCCCAGGAGACCCAGGTGCCCCTGCCACCCCTTGGGAGGACCACTGCTCCTCTGGCTGCCAAACCGCTCGGTCAGGCACTGCCTCCCGCTGCACATCGGCAAAGACCCCAGTATACCCAGTCTTCCCCACCTCTCCTGGGGCCCCTGCAAGCTAACACCCTGCAGGCAATCGGTGTGCCCTGCGTTGTAACGGTTCCCTTTCAGCCTTGCTTCATCTTTGCTAGCAGGCTCTTTGAGACAGGAGCTCTGACTGCAAGCAACTGCCCGTGGTTTTCTTAGGGTTACCCTGAAGTTAGCACACTGTTAAATAGCTGATAGGAAAGAACAAGGAAAACCCGAAGCCTGACAGGTCCTGCAAGAAGAGGACAAAGAGAAATGGTGCATTCGGAGGGAGGACCCAACAGCCCCAAGTCCGAGTCTTCTGCCTCACAGCCATGCAGCCCACCGCGGTTTGCACCATCCGAGGGGCACCAAGCCTTGCATGCACCTTCCTCTGAGTGCTTATGCGGGACTTGCACGGTGCCGAGCTTGGACTTGGCGTGGAGATAAATGCCACCCTTCAGCAGGGAGTTGCAGAGCTGGAAATCAAAGACGGGGAGGGCAGCCCAGCAGCCCGTCCTGGTGGTGGATCTGGGCATCTTGCCCTGGGGCCCCACCCTGATGCCGCGTCCCCTCCCTTGGGGTGCCAGGGCTCTGGGGGGCCCCCGGGGTCCCAGCCAATGGAGGGGTGCACGGGGAAGAGGAGGGGCCCGGGGTAGCGTATAAAAGTGGGACAGGGAGAGCCGCTTGCCAGCGTGCGACCCCCTTGGGAGCAAGAGCCGAGACTTCCTCCGTACCTGCCGGCAGCCACACGCTACCCTCCACCGGACACCATGGTGCACTGGACAGCCGAAGAGAAGCAGCTCATCACCGGCCTCTGGGGCAAGGTCAATGTGGCTGACTGCGGTGCTGAGGCCCTGGCCAGGTAGGTCCAGCTCCCGGGCGTCTGCTCAGCTGCACCCTGGGTAGAGAAACCGTGGTAATTGCATTGGGGATCATTAACATCTCTGTGTCTGCTTGTGTCCCCCCTCCATCTCTCCTCAGGCTGCTGATCGTCTACCCCTGGACCCAGAGGTTCTTCGCTTCCTTCGGGAACCTCTCCAGCCCCACTGCCATCATTGGCAACCCCATGGTCCGCGCCCATGGCAAGAAAGTGCTCACCTCCTTTGGGGAAGCCGTGAAGAACCTGGACAACATCAAGAACACCTTCGCCCAGCTGTCCGAGCTGCACTGTGACAAGCTGCACGTGGACCCCGAGAACTTCAGGGTGAGCCGTGCTTCTGACTGCAGGACCCATCCCCACTATTGCATCTCTGCGGGCAGTTTCTCCCCTAACCCTGAACCCTCCCGTGTGAGGGATTTACCCTAGAGATGCCGGTGCAGGAGGAAGAGGGGCTGGTGGTTGGGGTGGGGGGAGATGCAGGAGAGGGACAAAGAGGGAAGGCACCAACTTGCATCTCGGTGAGAAAGCACCGAAGGGGCTGAGAGGTGATGGTTATGGAGAGGCCATCTGGAGAGTGCAAATGAGGACGCACGGGAGGTGGGAAGGTGGCGAGGAGGTGGTTTCCGTGTGGAAAGGGAGGGGGAGAGTGAAGTGAAAGCAGTTGCTGAGCAGGAAGAAGTTTGAGCCAAGGGGAAAGCAAAGGAGCAAGAGTAAAGCTTGGCACGAAGGAGAAAGGAGAGAGGAGTGAGGAGCAAGAGATGCGGCTAGATGCCAAAAGCAAAAGAGGAATGGGACCTAGAGGGAGAGAAAACTGTCTCCCATGTCTCTGCAGCTGAGAGATTCCCAGTGGGGAAGTAACTCCGACATTTGTGACCGGGGCTAGCAGATATCCCCCCCGGCGTCAGCATGAGCTCATTGTTCATGCCAGGGTGCTTTGCAGTGCCGAGTGCCGGCTCCCTGCCATGCGGCAGATGCTCAGCTGTGTCTTCTGCTCAGGAGAAACTCCCAAACGAAGCCAGAAGGGAGAAAGAAAAATTTAATCAACAAAATTTCTGGAGAATTTTTGGTTACTCTTCCCATAACAGTAGCAGAACCTGAATCTTTAGAGTAAGAGCAGAGAACAAGTTTAAGGTACATCCTAAAAAGGACTCCAGGGAGATTTTTAAGCCTACAAAATGCCCAGAGGTTTCCCTGGGTCTAATGCGAGTGCTCGTGTGGGGATCTGCAGGCTCCTGGGTATTGCTAACCCGAGGGTGCTCTTGTCCCTGCAGCTCCTGGGTGACATCCTGATCATCGTCCTGGCCTCCCACTTCGGCAAGGATTTCTCTCCCGACTGCCAGGCTGCCTGGCAAAAGCTGGTCCGTGCGGTGGCCCACGCTCTGGCCCGCAAGTACCACTAAAATGTCAGCAGAAAAGCCCCAGCAGCATCCTCTAGCTGCGTGTCATGCACCGGCTGACATGCTGCTCTGGAGCTGACAGCTTTTAAATAAAAGATCATCCAAAAAGCTGACAGCCAAATAAAGCTTATCCTGTGAAGCCTCCACTGAGTCTGTGTGTCCCTGAGAGGCTGGAGGGGTTGGGGGGACAGGGACCTTCGGCACCCACAGGCGGACTGGGGGTCCCAGAAAATATCACCTCCCTTTGTTCTGTCTGGGTTTTTTTTTTTCGGGGG